CATTGTGTAGATATGTATGTTTCCACATTGTAGAAGTTTTTTTAATCTGTATGAATGTACATCAGCCAACACCAGCGCCAGATTAGTTAAAAGCTTTCTCCTCCATACCATGTATGTATGTATATTTTAGATTTTTTAATTTTTATTATCGTACATATGTATGTATGCATATGCGTTGAGAGCAAAGGAATCTGTAGCTATGCCGGAATGTTAAAAAAATAAAATTAATTTTATGAGAACTAGCATAGAACCCCACAATAAAATGCTAAACTAGTGAAAAAGATATCTTGTTCAGAACTACATGGTTGCTACAACTTGCATCAGTCTCTTTTACTTCTAAACTATAATTGATGGAAATGCCTTATTTACGCAGCTAAGTTCCAATTTGGCATTTATTCGTGGCTGCGTATATTGGAAATTTCCATCAATAATAGATTAGAAATAAATGCGTCTGATGCTTTGGCTTGATGCATTTCGGACCACACCCTACATATCTGCGGCATGTGAGATATACCAGCGCTTCAACGTTGGTTCTGGTGTTGTGATTAGAGCGGCAGCGTGAGCAAAGTTAACATATCCCATAACTAAAAGATTTTCAACTAAGAAAAGGCATTTTAGAGTTTTCATTTTACTTGTTGGTGTTGGTTGATTTTTCCGAGAGTTGGTTGATTTTTAGAACGAAAAAAAAAAACACTGAAGATGGTACAACGACGAAACCGATTTGTCTCCAAACCAAACTTGACAAAGGATAAGAGAAATTTGTTTCAAAATAAATAATTTTTATTTTGCTCTTACAGAGTAAGGAAATTGATAAATGCGCGATACTTGAGCTCAATTATACATACCACATCTGAGTTTTTAGTTTGTTACTAATGCCTGTGACAGACACCTAGGGGCGTGTGTGCATCGGTAACCACCTCTGAGACACAACCTTTCTGATGCAAAAAGAATTATAGAAATCGGTTGACGTGGTCCAAAGTTATGCGGTAACATACATAAAAAAAAATCTCCGACGAACTGATAACCTCCTCCTTTTTTGGAAGTCCGTTAAAAATATAAGTACATTTGTATGGATTTGCACAAGGAAGTTAAAATTTTGCACATTTAAAGAATAAACAGTAATAAAAGATGATACCAGCGCTTGGAAATGCTAATTTTCTTAAAGTTTTCTGCATATTCAAACTATTTTTTTTATCACAAATAAAATTTTGTTTTCTAAATTCTCATCTTTTTTATCAATATTTTATATCGTTTTGCTTTCATTTCGACAACTCGTAGCTGTGTTTCATAGAATACCAGCCAAATACAATGAAACTTGAAACAAACAAATAATAAAATTATAGTTTAAAAAAATAAAACCTCCCTATTATAATTGCAATATTACATAGTTACATCCCGAGCTAATAAAAGGAAGGTAAAAAGAAAGTAGTTTTGGCGCATTCCAAAACGTCAAAAAACAAAGCATCAGTATCGATTATTTCCAAACCGCACTAGAAGAAAAAGTATAACTTGCGCAACCTAGTTGAAAACTAGTATCTAACCGTGGTTGCGCAAATTTGCCATTACAATCTACCGAAATTTAGAAATAAATGATACTGATGCTTTATATTTTGACGTTTTGGAATGCACCCTTTCATTTAATGACATTCAGTGGCGGATACAGCGGGGGGGGAGCTTTGGGGGTTAAAGTTAGGGCTGCCAGACCTCCCGGTTTTCCCGGACATGTCCCGATTTTAGACTATTTGTCCCGGTGTCCCGGTCCAACCTTAAAATGTCCCGGGTTTCGTTTTAGTGTCCCGTTTTTTGATTTGATTGCACAAATTTGAATAAAAGTTCAAAAATCACTACACTAAGGGAAAAAACGCGTTGTAATATTCAGAAAATGTTATGAATTCACTGAGGGAAATAACGCATAGTAAACATGAATATTTTCTATTTGATTATCGTTTAAAAATGTTCGTATTTAAACATGAATACTTTCATAACAGGCACGCGTGATGTTGATTCAAACTCAACATTTAAATGCACATTTACATGTCTGGCTGTAGCTGAGTGCGCGACGATGCTTGCCACAATTTGCTAATTTCCAGAGGGTCAGGGTTCAATTCCCATTACAACCAGCATGGAATTTAAATATTTTTTTAACTTGATTATGAAAAAGCAATCGGTAATTGCAAATCGCTTCATTTTAATATGGGCGTATTTGAATTGAATATTTCTATACTAAATACTAAAATTTGTATACTTAAATGTATTACGAGTTGGGTTGGTGCTCTTGCATATGCGTGTTTTTTTAATTTAGCACGCTTTTTTAATTCTAAACTTCTTTCTCTCAATGCACCGATTTAATTTGTGAAATAGCCACATTTCGAGATAGTTGAACTTTGCACAAGCAATAGTCGATGATTAGTATATCGATGGCTGAGTGGAAGGTCGACCTACCTTGGCAGCCAGTTCTAGAAGACCCTATCTCAGAAATTTTTCAACAACGCTTTATCTCAGACAACTTTTCAAGAACGCCCTACTTCAGAATTTGATTGAATTCGTACGAATTATCGTGGTTTTTCTCAAATCGCGTTCCGGCAGACCAAAAAATTATCCATCACTCAAAAACTGTGAGTGCAAAGTGGCAGTTCCCCTGAGAGAAGTTGCAAATTCTTGCTGGAAAATTTTTAGCCAGCAATCACGAAAAACATGTGATTATGGCACATGGTTGCATTTTCGTCTACGATAATTTGAATAAATAAGTTCGTTGAATTTAAAAATTTATAAACACGAGCGATTTTTTATGAAAAAAGGAAGTAAATACTTGTTGATATAATTGATTTACTTAATTCCAATGATTTGAACTTAACTCGGCTGAAAAAATTGTATTCGCAATCGGAATTCAATTGCAACCAGAGGCGATTTAAGAAACCCGACAGTACGATAAAGAAATTGAAATGTATGTATATTAAAGGAGGTCAGAACAATAAGAAATATACACGTATATACTGTTTTTGTCCATCTGAAAGAATTTGAAAAATTCTGTAAAAATGTATTATGTTTAAAATGCAACCGTGGACGCCAGCTGGCAGGGAAACTTGCAAATTCCTGCAAATTTGCGTTCGTGCAGAAATTTGCAAGTTTCTCAACTTGAGAGAGAATTTGAGGGAATTTTTTCTTACTCTCTGATATTTAGATCAGCCGTGTCCAGCGCAGGGCACTTGCTTATGGAGTTCTGCCGGCGTTGGGCATGCCTCATTTAGATTCCTGCTGGATCTTCAACGAACAAACCTTATGGCACATTCTCTCATTAGCTCGCTGTTCGCAGTATTCATCCACTTGACGTTTCTCATTGTTCGATTTTCGTTGCCGCAGTATTCGCCATGGTTCAATAAAAAAATGCCAAATTTCCTGCAAATACATTAAAATTTACAAAAGGAATTTCCCTACTAAGTGCCTACTTTATATATGCAACCTTTTATAAGGGAGTGTTAAATCGCGGCTGTCAATAATGATCTAACCTTTAAGGCCCGTCCACATAGAACTTTGGCTTTGCGTTGGCCTTGGCGTCGCTTCAACAGCTGACTATGATTACATGAATTCAAATGCTGCCCTCCACATAGCCAAAATTCGACAACGCTCACCCCAACACAAAGCAAAAAGATGTCCAACTCTCAACTTTTTGCGTGCGTCGCACGTCAGCTGTTGCAAAAAATAAAATTATGTGAAATATTTTTCCTTTTTAATCAAGTGCAGACAAGAAAAATCGTTTTTAATGCAATTATTGATATGAAATATTAATTTATCTGTCGTTAGTATGTTAATTTAGTGGCCCAAGCATTCGCTGCCAAGCGTTCATTGTAGCAAGCATACTTTTAGCCATGATAAAAAACATTACAAGATAAAATCATTGAGGGGCAGTCTGACGTTTGCCAGCAATATAATTTTAAAATTCGAACTCAAGCTCACACACACATTCTCATTTATAATCTCAAACAACAACAATTGTGAACAATTTCATTTTTTTTATTTTCAATTTTATATGATTTTAAAATGTTTGCAAACGTCAGAAAAAAATCATGGCCGACGAATTGAGACAGTGATTTTACCTGCCAATGTTTTTATCATGCTTTTAGCGTGCGTTGTGTCAAACCAACGCGAAAGTTCTATATGGACCGGACCGGCCTTTAATTATTGAATCATGAGTATTCGCCACACTATAGTGAACGAAGACTTCCGCATATGAAGAAGAAGAACAAGTTTCGCACATAACGGCGCGTTTACATTAGACAATGCTGTCAAGACAATAAATAAATACGTATTAGTAGTCAAAAATGCTTGTAATTAACTCCGCGACGATGTCAGGACGACAATAGTGATGACAATTCATATTGAGCAAAATGTCGGACGTGAACGATGTATTATAATACGCATTTCGCGCAAGCGATTTAAGCTAAAAACTAAAATGTAATAAAGAAGAGACAAATTTACATACACATCAGCGTATCTTGTGTTATAATAGCTCTTTTGTTGTGAATTTCTCTTCTTTCTTGCACAATACGTCAACATTATTGTCTGCATACGTCAAATCCTTGTCCGAATGTTTATGTTAATGTTCCTAATGTCAAAATGATGTGTTCTTTGTAAACAAGGCGAACTCATATTACAACAAACACATCATTTTGACATTAAGAAGTATCGCGGCGAAAATCTAAATTCGCCAGTAACCGGCCACACATCGATGCATCGATTTTCATATGATTTTTAAGATAATGTTTCACAACAAGCAAAATTTTATAAAATTCTAAATACATTACTGCAACTGAGCTAATTATGGTTTTAACGGAACTTCTTGCAATCATTTCATTTTTTTTTTGTCAAAGTAACTTCGCTTTTTTGAACAATTTAAAAACTGGAATGACGGTTCAATGTGCCGGAGATGTCAGTTTACAAAAAAACATCGATGCACCGATACATCGACTATTTATACCACACCGTGTAAAATTTTCGATACATCGAAGCAAAACATCGATATTTTCGATGCATCGATGTTTTTCCGACATTCCTAAAAGAACGAGCATCTCCAAGTTAACAGCTGTGTCATAATTATTTGTGTGTAAACAGAAAGAAATAAGTGTTTCCGTTAAGTATTAGAGGTTTATTACAATACCATGGATCCGGCTCTACTTAGGGAACGCGAAGCGTTCAAGAAAAGGGCTATGGCCACTCCCACGTGAGTTTATCCATTTATTAGATATTGCCAATATGTGTACATGTGTATGTAAATACTTTTTCTTTCCCCATGCAGCGTGGAGAAAAAGCCAAAGACTGAGGCACCGCCACCGCCTGCTAAAGATGATGCTAAAAAGAAAATGCGTCCTCCGAGCGCTCCTAAATTGGATGCCAGCACGTAGGTTGTATCATGGCACGTTTATCATCTATTTAATTTCATTATCACACAAGGTATAAGACTATGTCTGGAAGTTCGCAATATCGGTTTGGTGTGCTAGCGAAGATTGTAAAACATATGCGTACTCGGCATCAAGATGGCGATGACCATCCTTTGACCATTGAGGAAATTTTGGATGAAACTAATCAACTGGACATTGGACAATCTGTTAAAAATGTAGTCTCTAACTACACACAGAACTGGAAAAAATATAGACTCTATGTATTTTCAGTGGCTAGCCTCCGAAGCCCTCACAAATAACCCAAAAATTGAGGCAACACCGGATGGGCATCGCTTCAGCTTCAAACCGGTATATAAAATTAAGGATGGCAAAAATTTATTGCGCCTACTCAAGCAGCACGATTTGAAGGGTTTAGGAGGGGTATTGCTGGATGATGTACAGGAATCATTGCCCCACTGTGAAAAAGTACTCAAAAATCGTGCTTCTGAAATCATATTCATAGTTCGGCCGATCGATAAGAAAAAGATATTATTTTACAATGATAGGACAGCAAATTTTATGGTACACTCTATTTGGTTTTACTTATTTCATGCAATTTGAATAGTCACTTCTGCATTCATAGGTTGATGAGGAATTTCAAAAGTTGTGGCGCTCAGCCACAGTGGATGCCATGGATGATGCCAAAATTGATGAATATCTTGAAAAACAAGGTGAAGTATTTTACCCGTCACCTATTTTGTAAGCATTATTCACGTTTGTTTGGAATTCCACATGTAGGTATCCGTTCCATGCAAGATCATGGACCAAAGAAACCAGTACCAAAGCGTAAGAAGGCTGTAAGCAAGAAGCGACAGTTTAAGAAACCCAGAGATAACGAACATTTAGCTGATGTTTTGGAAACGTATGAGGACAACACTTTAACTCAGAAAGGTTCTAATCCAACATAAATAGTTTTAAATTTTTTTATAAAAACAATTTGACTAAAATAATCTGATATCGATATTAACTCAGAAAGGTGTTAATCCAACATAAATAGTTTTAAATTTTTTTATAACAATTTGACTAAAATAATTTGGTATCGATATTATAACAAGTTTGTACATTTCTGGCCTTTGGAAAAAGCTTCACCAATGGGTACTAATTAGTTAAAATATTATTTGAAAAAAAAAACATTGAAATATTGCTTTAAAGAGGCAGTGACCTAACTTGAGATATGTTTTTTTTTTTTAACAAAATGCCACATATACATCTGTGGTCATAAGCAATAATCGCCTAAGTCGAAAATCCTGAATTCGAGAAAAAACGCTTTAAAGATTTGGATTGTAATGCTAACCTTATGGGGAAAACAAAATACTTTCGCCTATAACTTTTTAAACAGCATAGCTGGCGAGATGGGGAATTCAGGTACGCATGGAATAGGGGTTGAAGAATACGATAGTATATATACATATTTGTAACTCCATTCTTTCTTAAGTCGACTTAGGCGGTTATTGCTTATAACCACAGACATATGTATGTATGTATATATCTACCAAATGAAAATATGTATTAGAATTGCTATTTGCCCTTAAGAAAACTTATTAAAACCGATAGTCAATTTGAAAATTAAGCTCTGCTATATTTCTGGCAATCGCCATTACCACCAGAAAAGAGCAAGCCAAATTACGAAACATTTGTTTAACCTTTCTATATTGATTAACGCTTTCTAAAGAACCAGTTATGCCTCTTTGATTGCTTTGTTCGCAATTTTTGTTCTTTTTCTGGTCTCAAACTCTGTGGTCGTGAACTGTAAAAGAAAAACTCATAAATACATAGTATTTATGTAGATGCTCATATGCCTAGTATATAATATAAATAATATATATTTACAAGGTTTGCCTTTAAAATCAATCAGCAATAAATATTATGCCAGATACGTACATACATATGTACAATTTTGCAGCCGATAAGTACCTGCCGCACACACAATCAGCCAAGCAAAGTGCGTACCTAAAATTTAGTTTTTTTATCTTGCGGTTACACCTTAGACGCGCCATTCTGTCAGAGTGTGGGTGATTTTTTAGTTTCTTTCGGTACGCTGTTCTCTTTATTGGTGCCAACAAACTAGTACGATTTATTTGCACTGTAGTACGAGCAAGTGATATTGAAATTGGTTGGCTTACTTGCAGTCATTTCACATATAGCCGCCGTAGTGAGCTGGCAAAACTTGTTTAAATAAAACCAGTGAAAACATGAGGGTGCTAACACCTTTACTAGTGATATTTGTTTTAGGAGTACAAAAGTCGGGTGCATCCAGTGACGAGTGAGTTTGCTTTCACAAAATTTACTTATCATTTCAAGTACTAGAAATAAAAATATTGAATATTTCATAGTGGGTGCTGTGAACGCCATTTAGAATGTTCCACAAATTCTCATATTCTTCCCTTTCAGCCTTATATATGGTTACGAATGCCAAAACAGTAGATGTGTCAAGGTTGAGCTGGACGCGCAGAATTTCCAGAAAGCGATAAGCCTACCAGTTTGTCGCCTGTTCTGTAGCGGCAGTGTCCCCGGCACAATATGGCCCCGTCCAAGTGGTCTCGTTAATTTTGACAGTTATATGCTGGCAGTAGACACAGAAACTATAGAATTTCAATTGCCCAGTTTTAGTAAACAGGCACACCTTTGGGACGAAAGTAAAAATCGTTTTATGCGACTACTATACTCCGGGGTACCGAATAAGAACGTTCTCAGAAAGGGCGGACGTCAGCTAAAAGTGTTGGTGGAATTAAAGTCAATCGTAGATGATGTGCTGCCCAAGCTTACTTTAGATACCGATGAGAGCTATTCACTGCAAATTTCCTCAGCAAATAACAGCGCAGCAACTGCCACGATTTCAGCAAGCAGCTATTTTGGTGCTCGGCATGGTTTGGAAACGTTATCTCAGTTATTAATATATGACGACATTAGACGCGAGATACAGATTTTAGCTCGTGCCGATATCGATGATGCCCCGGCCTTCAAATGGCGTGGTTTACTTTTGGACACTTCGCGCAACTTCTTCAGTGTAAAGTCAATTAAGCGCACTCTGGGTAATCTTATAATTTCCGTAACACAATAATATTAAGATATATATATGTATATGTATATGTAATTGCTATTAATTATTTTGTTATATAGATGCTATGGCCATGGTGAAGCTGAATACCTTCCACTGGCATATAACTGATTCCCATAGTTTCCCATTAGAAGTCAAATCTCAGCCTGAACTGTATAAATTAGGAGCCTATTCGCCACGTAAGGTTTATAGCCATGTGGAAGTTGCAGAGATCGTGGAATATGGTCGAGTACGTGGGATTCGTGTAATGCCTGAGTTCGATGCGCCCGCTCACGTTGGCGAAGGCTGGCAGCACAAGGATATGCTGGCATGTTTTAATGCCCAGCCATGGAAAAATTATTGCGTGGAACCGCCTTGCGGCCAGCTGGATCCTACTGTTGAAGAATTGTACCCAGTGTTGGAAGATATATATCGGGAAATGTTCGATCTTTTCGACCCGGATGTTTTTCATATGGGCGGCGACGAGGTATCAGTCGATTGTTGGAATAGTAGTAAACGCATACAAAACTGGATGCTAGAGAAGGGATGGACTTTAAATGAAACAGATTTCATACGACTATGGGCTCATTTTCAAAACGAAGCTTTAATTCGTGTAGACACAGTTGCTCAATCTCAACAGCCACTAATTACCTTGTGGACTAGTCATCTCACCCAGGTGCCTTACATTGATGATTATTTAGATAAGGAACGTTACATCATACAAATATGGACGACTAAAGGCGACAATAAAATAAGAGACATTTTAAAACGTGGTTTCCGCGTTATAATTTCAAATTACGATGCTCTCTATTTTGATTGCGGCGGACCTGGTTGGGTTAACGATGGCAGTAATTGGTGTTCACCTTACATTGGCTGGCAGACAGTTTATGACAACGACTTGGACACTATTGCTGGCGAGTACAAGTCCCAAGTAATGGGCGCTGAAGCAGCTATCTGGTCGGAGCAAATTGATGAGTTCACGGTGGATTCGCGGTTTTGGCCACGGGCTAGTGCCTTGGCTGAACGTTTATGGTCGAATCCGAAAGAATCTTGGAGGCAAGCCGAAGCGCGAATGCTATATCATCGCCAACTCTTGATAGATCGCGAAATCGGGGCGGAATCAATGCAGCCAGAATGGTGCTTTCAAAACGAAAACCAATGTCCAATAAATGCATATGATGCAAAATTTTGATTTTAAGTTCGTTACTTAATATGCTCATGATCGTCTTAATACTCATAATATTTCCTATACTTGCAAATGTATTATTATGAAATGAATCCAGGTTGCAATAAATATTAAGGGCTTGAAATTAAATATTTAATATTTTTCTTTAATGATTATAGTTAGTTATACGATGCAAGAATCACTCGTTATATGTGTTATAAACAGACGTATCTTATGAGATATATGGATGTATACTAGCATAAACGTACATACTTATATATGTGGTTACATTAATAAGGTATAGCAATATTTTATAAAGAAAAGAAAATGTAAATCTATTATCTAACTTAACTTTATGATTGGATAGCTCTTCAAAAATTATTGCTAATTTACTCGTTCCAATCCTCCTCGTTTCGGCCAAACTTGTAAACAAGACTCCCAATAAGAATAAGAACATTTTGCATGAGAAGGGCTACACCAGGCCAGTTGTCTTTTTTGGCTGTTAGAAAAAAGAAAAAATCGTTGAAATTTTAAAATAGCTAAATACTTATTTAAAACTCTTTGGAATAGTAGTTGGGCTGGGAAGAGAACTTAACAAAAGCCGCAAATAAAGAAGTTCCAATATTTAAATACTCTAAGTTTGAGGCGCATTGACAATTAACTTACTATTATTGATGAAATCATCGATCATAACCCACACTGCTGCCACAATCGAAGCAAATCCCATTACGAATCCAATGAGTAGCCAAATTTTTGCAATTTGGGCTCCAGACTCTGATGTATTCTCTTCAGAAATCTATTAAATATAACATTGAGCATTGGACTGTGAAGCAATGGTAATTATTTAGCTTACGTGAGAATTTTTGACAGTGTTCACCATGAAAAAACTGATGGTACCGAATACCCCTATAAATACATGCCCAGTAGTGATCTGGTGTTGGTTATCTACTGACATAGCATCGATCAGGACCCACCAGCCTGAAAAAAACTACAACAAAAAAAAATATATATGTAAATATGTTACTGCTTTTGTAAACAAAACTGAAAAAATAGCAGTCCATAATCCGCCTGCACTTACAAGGAATCCAGCAATCAATGATGAATTTTTGTTACGGGCTGTCTCGGAAGTGAACCACTCGCGTACATTTTCCAACAAAGTCATTTTTACAACACAGGATTTTTTCCTTAAAAATTTTTTTGCTTAATAAATATGTTGACTAATTCACAACTAGTGATGGCAGCTATTAATTATTTGCTGAAATCAATCGATTATTTTTGCCCAATTTCCGATTTACACCCCTATTCGCGTGTTGTCACAGCCAGTGCTGCCGCTGCCCTTCAATTGAAGTTTTTAACTTCACTTTGGTAGCCTTCAAAAGTCTTTGGCGCGTATTCATAGTCCAGCCACTAAGTCGAAACTAATAAAGTTGCAAATTAAATTTAAGTACCAACTTAAAATTCACTTCTATTATAGTCGCATTTCACACTTCTACTAAGTAGTTTTAACTTATGGGCTGTTTTTGCTTACGCGTAAAAGCACATTTAGCTCTAAATGTACATTTATCCATACAAAATTCGTCACCTAAATGCAACTCCATCTTTGCATTTAGAATCTAAATGCTAAAAGCAACCCTGTGATCTTCCAAAATTTCCACAATTCGCACATGGTTTAAGGCCTGTATGCAGCTCTCAAGAAAAGCAAAAAATCCATATAAAATGACGTACAAGAAATGGCTAAGAAATTTTCTTGAGTCAAATTTCCTTAAGGCAGTACGCAGTTGTTAAGAAACTTACTACGCTTTCTACTACGGTTTTCTAAATTTTTTGTGAAAAAAGAGCACAAGGCAACCCAGGCTTGCAACAGAAATATATGCCCGTTCCATTATTTCTTGAGGAAAGAGTGAGGCAACAGGCTGTGAAGTATCAAAAATGTCAAAATTCCTTGGACACACACACGAAATAATGGCAAATTTTTCTTGACCGTTTTCTTGAGAGCTGCATACAGGCCTTTAGATTTTTTTTTTCCTTTTCAGTAGAGGTTTTTGCACATTATCTTTTCCGTGAGAATTTATCGTAATAGATACGGATCTGAATAAGCGACTGGAACACGGCTGTTTGTCAAAAGCATACGATTTCAAACTCGCGTAAATGTACATCTGCTAAATGCGATAGCATGAACGCTCTTCGAAAACATATGTTCGAAAGTGCTAAATGTTGCATTTTAAATGCAGCAAAAACGCTGCATTAGTTGTGAACTAAGTATGACTATGAATATGCGCCAATATATATATATGTATATATTTAGAAGATGTTTATTTAAATGGCGTAGAATAAGTATATATTTGTTTTAAACATTCGTTGTTTTTGTGAAAGCGTTTACAATTTTTTGTTGGTACCATTTTATTTGATTTAGTAAATTTTTTCTGACGTTTGGTACGATTTCGAAAAATTCATTTATCATCCCTGATCTGAAACCCGACGAAAGCTTAATGGCTTTTAAACAACAATCTATAACTAAACTTAAGTGCCATTTAAATATTCATTTGAAATTGGCACATATTAGAGCGGTTTTCTTCTAGGAGTCAGTAAAATAAAGATGTTTTGATATTTTCTTCAACTGGTTGAGCATCTTAAAGAAAGTTCATGTGTGTATATTTCAGCCATTCATTTTTTTTTTTCGTGCAACCCTGCGTGAGTTGAACGCAAAAGCTACCTGAAAAATCTTCTCGTGCGAAAGCTCCATTTTCAATTCATTTCCGAAAAGTGACAAAGTGTTTTTGTAACTTCAATTTTTCAATTTGTCTGCAAAACGCATGGATAAAGTTTTTCCGCTAACTTGTCTGACTACACCTTAAACCTAACAAAAAGCCCTAAATGTAAAACCAAAATAATAACACGTGCATCTGTATTGTTACTAAAAGTTCATAAATTTCACAATTTTTAGAATGTCATCGTCAGAAGATGAACAATCTGAGAGCCAGTTGCAATCAGATGATGGGGAGCAGCAGGAGCTCGACTTAGACGCTAGTGACACTGATTCCGATGAAGATGACGAGAATTCCGATGACGAACTGGTCAAACCAAAATCCCTCGAGGAGAAAGTTACTGAGGAGCTTACTAAAAAGTACTCAGAACGCCAGGGTAAACAATTGTATATTCGCTTCCCCCATAAACTACCTGAGGAAGATGACGAGTTTCAGGAACAGGCAAAGACGCTGTCTCCTCTGATTGTGAAGGCTCATAAACCCCGGCAGAAACACGCACGTTTCTGCCTCGTTGATTTCAATTCACGGGAAGACCGCGATATTGCCTTCAAGGCAATAAAAGCTTCGGCGAAGAAAAGTGAAAGGAAAATCGTTGTATCGATTCCACGCACAGAGAACTCGGAATTTGTCCAGGAGCTCGTTCAACGCAGAATAAATGCTTTAGAGAAGAAGAAAGCAAAGGCGCGTTTAAGACATGCGAGTAAATTAGCATTGCGGGCGAAAAATTTCACATCCTCGATTGTTATAACAAATCTGCCTCGAAGTGCCTCGAAAGCGGAGGTGCGTCGGTTATTCCCAACAGCGGTTGATGTGCAAATAAAACCACGAAAAGGTCACTTGATCGCTTCTAGTATAGCCGCAGTCACGTTACCTACGACAATGGAGGCGCGTGCAGCAGTAAAAAAGAAACAATCTTTGGGCGGAACGGAACTTAAAATTCGATACGATACGCAGCAGCTTAAGAAGCCCAGAAGTAAATCAAAGACCAAAGATAGACGGAAGGGTCACAAGGGTTTGCAGCCTGCGGCAAAAAACTAAGAGAGATTAAATTTATAATATTACAACTGTCCAAGAAAAATCTAAACAATAAAAAAAAATTATTTAGTCGCTCTCGTATAATCTTCTATGATATAAAAAAATTAAATCTGTATATAACGATTATAATATGACCCAAAAATAAAAATCATAATCTAATGGCCTTATTCATAAAAAATAAAGTAGGTTTAAAGAGCTTTATAAATTGACGATTTCATACATTTTTCCATTTTATAAAGCTTTTATTATAAAGCTACTTTATTTTTTATGAATAAGGCCATAAAAGTTTAATTGGATTAGAAAAATAGATATTCAATTTCATTCAAGTACCAAAACTGCATCTTTCAACGGAAAATTACATAAAAATTCTAAAACGAAAGTGCCAGAGGCACATCCCCATAACGAATTTCTTGAAAGTATTAAATAGTTTGTTCACATATTTTAGGATTTATTTCAAATTATATAGTAAACCGGCAATACATAATTATAAATGCGAATATATAGTACATATTTGAATCGCATTAGTTCAATTACGTAGTTTTAAGCAAGTGATAGTAAATTAATTTATTGCATTACACATGTTCGATAATACGCTTAGTGTGCATGCTTGCTGTTCCATGAAGGTATGCGCATTTGTTTTCTAATATAATATGCATACATATCGTCACCTGAAATGCAAAAGGTCGGTAACTCATAAAAAATTCAAAATTCACTTTTTGATTGCTATGATAGATTTCATCAAATTACTACAGCTCACTCCCCACATCGTTTTATGCCAAAAAAAAAAAAATTTCACGACTTTCCATTTCAGTGACGATGATGATACGTTATTTTGCATTTCAGGTGACGATATGTATGCACTGCATTTTTTTCTAAATACGTACATGTATACGTGATTTAATTTTATTTAAACAAGTATCTACACCTCACTTAAGTTACTCATACACAATTGTTTCGTGACAAGAAAAACACCGCCAGCACTTTGATTTCATTAAGAAATTATTTTGCCTGTTTGCACATCCATACATTGGTTTATTTTTGTATGTGTACGTTAAAATATATTTAGTACAGGGTTTCGAGCACCAATCTCGGTAATAGAAGGTTCGACATCTTCGAATAAACCAAGGTTGCATATTCATTGCACTCGTTTTAGGGAATCTAAATGATAGTTTATGGAGCATTATGTGACTTTTTAACAATCCTTCAATTAAAACAAAAAAAAAATTGTCTTCATTCTGGTTTAATCAAACAGTCGAGCCGCCTTTAATATTTAGCAATTACTTTCAAATCCATATTTTCATACTAATGCACGGAAAATTTAAATGAAATTTCATTAAAATAACCCGAGTAAATAAGCGGCAAACCAGCTAACACTCCTAATCCAAAGTTTTTTCTCTTTTAAAGTAAATTTTACCTTTGGGACATTAGCGGAGAAGATATGAGAAACTTTACGCATTTTGTGTGGCATAGTTTAACTACATTATGTATGCAGTTTTTGTTTTACATAGAGTGCAGAAAGATATTTATTACTGTTGTTGGATATACACAGATATTTAATTAGAAAGAGGGAAGTTTACTTAATACATCCATTATTTACTTTTCAGTATTTGATTATGTTTGCAGCAACCGTTGTCGAATGGATGGTGACGATGGTGGAACAGCGCCGGAGGACTCTGCCGATGGAGCGGGTTGTGGTGGTGATCGCAACGGAAACGAGGGCTGTACGAAACGCACACGTTCGACGTCTATGCTGCTTGAATTGGACGGCGCTGTGTTGGCTGCTGCATTAAATGCCGACGTAAAAGCAGTGGCGGCTCAAAGGGTGTGGTAGTTGCGCTCGTTGCGGGCCTTGTAAAATTTGTAGGCAACCAAACTGATGGCCAAAATACCCAACGTCAATACTATACCACCAATGAAGGATGGAAAATCAAAATGATTGCATGGTGGACGTGGAGTTGGTGGTGCAGCTGTTGTGGTCGTAGTTGTTGTGCTGTTGTCTGGCGCCACAGTTGTTGTGCTGTTGTTTGGCGCAACAGTTGTTGTGCTGTTGTCTGGCGCAACGGTTGTTGTGGTGGACGTCGATGGAGTGGTAGTGGTAGTGTTTGGCGAAGCTGTGGTAGAAGTGGTCGGAAGGGTTGTTGTTGTTGGTGGAGGAGCAGTTGTAGTGGTGGTGTTTTGGTCAGGTGCTGCCGCTGTAGAAGTTGTAGTTGCATTTTGATCCGTTGTTGATAGAGTTTCTTTTGTGTTTACTGACTCCTGTGTGGTAGTAGTGGGATCTGCCGTAATTGTCTCTGTTGATGCTTTCAAGCTCGTTGAGTCGTTTTTGGTTGCAACAGTATCAGACGGTGTAAGATCTTTGATATTTGCCGTTGATTTGTTATCATCAGTCGCATTTCTAGCTGCTTTTAGTAAATAAAATTAAAGATTATATTTCAATTTATTTATTCATTTACACCAATCGGCTTTACACTACATCCTTATTAGCTGGTATAAATAACTACGTATGTATACATAAGTAAAAGGTAAAAATGTTATTAAAATTTCTTAAATATGTACGAAAGACTAATAACGAACACCCAAAAAAGTTAATGGCTGCACACCGACTATTAGATCTTTGCGATACAATTTGTCGGAGCAGAACTTGGCAGCTATGTATATCAATTGTTAAATTGAATTCCTAATCATTACTGTAATAAGGTGAATAACTTAAAGCTTAAATTAAAGAAACTCAATATATATACAGAAGATAGAAAACTGCAATGGAAAGGCTCGGCATTTTTTATTAAAACATATTAGGGGTCTTCCCTGAAACTCGTAACGCTTTGTTTTTACACGGTATCGACTCAGCTTATTGACAAGTATTTCATGGTTGACCATATCGAAGGACTGGCTGAAATCTGACCACGGTTCAGAGCTTTGAGAATACAATTCGTATATGTAACAAAATAGGTTGGTTGTTGTTGATCGACTACGAAGAAGCCATGTTGTTTTTTGATTTAAGCTAAACGTTATTTGTGAGATTATCTTCTCAAGCAGTTTAGCGATGAACGATTGGATACAGATCGGTCTGTTGTTAGTTATATCTGACTTCAAATCCGATTTGCGCATTGGACTGATAAAAGTTATCTTCCAAGAATTCCCGAATATGTGGACAGTCCCAGCCCTATGAAATATGTACAGTTATTCAATACTATGACAAGATTTTATTAAGTTTCGCCTGCAAATCTGGCAATAAGTTTTTAATCAGCATCCTGACTATTTTTATGGTTCATATTTGAGATTTTTTTTGTGGAGGGTGTTGTGCATTTTCTTCCACATAAAAGTAAGTTTTGTTCATGCATTATATGGAAAAGAAAATGCGCAACACCCTCGACAAAAAAAAAATCAAAAAACCAACGGTAACTTTTAGCGACTTGAAACTTGCATTTTATTATACTAAAATTTAAGGGACTTTAAAATTGCATACTCGAAATCTTATTAAGAAAATTTTGATGAACATTTTTTTTTATTTAATTAGTTTTTTTTTTGAACTTTGTGCAAGTTTTAATACTTTTATGTATATATGTGGTATCTGATATATGTAGATCGACCCATATTTTCAATGAAAATTATTCAGCCTCATTGCGTAAGTCGTAAATTAGGCTGAATTGTACGACTCGACAACATTAGCATTGTCTACTGTCGTGCTGAAATAAGTAAACGACGAAAATTGTCGAAAACTATGCAGTGCTGCAAAGTTTTTCCGTTTTAATACACTAGTCGAGTGGAAATTTTAGGCAATGGCGCTAAATTTTCGATACGATTCGACTCTCGAAAAACGACTTGCATTCGGCACGACTCTCGCAATGAGGCTGATTAATTATTATTAAAGATGAGTTGTCAACAGCATCATTTCGAATTTTGCTGCTTTATTTTGACCGTAACTGTATATCGATACCTGAGTGGAAGATCGACCTATCTGGGCAGCCAGTTCGAAAACGCCCTATCTCAGAAAACTTTTCAAGAACGCCCTATTTCAAAATTTTATTGAGAAACACCGTATTTCAAAATTCCGTTCAAAAAATAATCTGGCTGATAACTGGAAATTTACTGAAAATGTGCTGAGATAGGGCGTTTTTGAATCGGCAGCTGAGATAGGGCGTTCTTCGATCAAATTCTGAGGTAGGACGTCGTTGGAAAGTCTTCTGAGATAGGGCGTTTTCTAACTGGCTGCCGATATAGGTTGATTTTCCACTCAGGTGTCGATATGTATAACATATGTAAATGGAAGGAATTAATTCCACAAAAAATTTAGCCATTCGGTGGTGTGCGGATCCAATGTTCTGGTTTTTATTAATCTCTAATAAAAGCTTGTCAAAAAGTTTTGTAACTACTTCTTTTGCTTATGTTAATCATTAATAAATGTGTATGCGCAATATTAATAAATTTGTATTCGATTATTCAACCAATTTGGAAAATTCAATAATCAAATCCGATATAACTTTTTTTCATTTAAAATTGCAAACCTTCTCCAGTGAGTCATTGTGGGTATGTATGTACGTTTTGCAAATAAATATATGAAAGTATCAAAACAAACATAAATACATTTGTATAATTTACATATATATATAGTACATATTTAGTTTTCAGCGCAAAATAAACTTATCAGCAACAAGCACAAAGACAGATTTTCGTTCTTTTGTCCACTGCAAAGCGTATACGTATCGTCGTTTAAAGTACAAAACCGCGTACTAACAAAATGCAATACCGCGTATCAAGATAAGGTAAAACCGCGTATGCGAGATTGCATACATTATTTTCTAGAGAGTATAAACACTCATACTTCATAATGGTTCTCTTTTTTTATAAAGCAATCGCATTTCTGGCTAGTATATATCAGTACGAATGGATAAGGATTGAGCCAAGAGCTTGTGTGAGCAAATCCATTTTTTGGCAGCAAATGTAAGTTACGCGGTTTTGTACTTCAAACGATGATATGTATTATGTACATATCGAAGGTCGTCGGCAATAACGATAGAACTCAAAACTAAAAAAATTCTTACTATCTACTGTATATAATCCTTATCTTAAGAACTTTAACAGAAGTATGGGTTTCGTTTTTTGAGTTATGTCGTTATTACAGAGAATACATACATACATGTACTGTGATACTGTGATATACATATCGCACACCGTGCCCAAAAGTCACAACTCAATATAATACGTTCGTCAGAAAATGCGAAAAACTATTTCGTAGCACAAAACAATAACAAAATATATATATAACAAAAATTTGCTCCAGCTTTTGCTGAAAGGTAAATAAAAGCTGTGTGTACATTTTTAGCGCATAATTTCAAAAATGCCAAATTTGGAGTTGTGACTCTTTTGAAGACGGTGTGCGATATGTATGCATATATGTAGAAAGATACGTGGGCCACTGCCTTAGTTCTATATTTAATTTCCAATCGTTTGAAACGTCGAGTTATTTCTTTTTAATTATCCAACGTATATATGTATGTATATTATACCTTGACAATAAGCAGATGACCAAAGTCCTGCCAGAAGGCAGCACAACAGCATTCCCGTCATCGATGATTTCATGTTTGATCCGATTCTTTCAACAATGGCTTTTCTTGGCGTTTGCTACAGTGCACAGAAATTGTCTCGCAATAATATCCAAAGGTTCAGGCAGAATGCAAATCCACGCAATTAATTACGGGCATCAGTTTTGTAGTATTGCGTTGCTCGAATCTTCCGATTAGTACTAAATTTGCTGCAACAAAAGAAGGGCGATTAAATGCGTAAACAAGAAGATGGGCGGAGAAATGCAGGCAACAGTGATTTTTCGTGCTGCAAGATTATCACCCTCGTATATGGACTTTTATTGTCTTATATATATGTATATATATTCTGCATAAAGGAGAGTTGTTGATGATTTATTATCCGCAACAATTGATTTCAAATAATTTGCTTATTTACTAACCACTTTTATTTTTGCAACAACAAATATATTTATGGAAAATTATATCAATTAATCGCCTATTTTCCTGAAAAGATTAGCTGACTGGCTGGAACTAGGAATGTCGAAAAAACATCAATGCATCGAAAATATCGATGTCGCTCCGATGCATTGAAATTTTTCCACTCGATGTATAAATAGTCGATGTATCGATGCATCGATGTTTTTTCAGAACTGACGTATGTAGTATATTGAACCGTCTAGAATGCATTGTACAAATGAATTGTACAATTGTACAAGAGAGATAACTTTGACCAAACTATTCAAATGGCTATAAAAAATTCCGTTAGAAACATACAACTCCGTTGCAGTAATTTATATCTAACTTTGTACGATTTTGCTAATAACGTCGTAGTGAAACTTCATCTGAAAAATCTCATGCAAATCGATGCATCGATGTATGGCCTTTGATGCATCAAAAAATATCGATGTACATTTCGATGCATCGAATCAAAGAAAAAGTCGATGTATTTTTTGCACTGACATCTCTAGCTAGATCTAGAGTGCAGAGTTGATTTCGTTACTGTTGCCGTACATTTTCAATACAACTAAGGAGCCAAATACACCACGCAAGTAGTTTTTAAAACATGACGAAATCTATTCTGATTTACTTTAAAGAATTCGATTTATATAATATTAAACAAGTTGAAGAAGTCTAGTCTCATTTGGCGGTGAAAGTCAAACCAAATGTCAAAAACAGGAAACGTCCCCAAACAAATTTCAATCAAGCAACTGCGGTGTTGCCGTATTTTTGTCAACACTCCTCCCCGGTATATCCTCCGGATTTACCCGATCCTGCGGAGCAACAATAGAAAGAACGGCAAGTCGCGTTGCTGGTCTCTGATATATGTCGGCGCTAGTCTTTACCAAGGCGCTTCTTACTTGTTGATCAGGGCCTACCCTGTCTGAAAACACTCGACGCTTCGTCCAAGAGTTTCTGGGTCCATTGGGGTTCACTATATACACGATGTCTCCTTGCTCAATCGGTTTTACGGCCTCGAACCACTTAGTGCGGCGCGTTATCACCGGTAGATATTCGCGGACCCAACGCTTCCAGAATGAGTCGGCCAATTGTTGTGCATATCTCCAGCCCATTCTCATTGGTTCTGGCCTTCCAGTATACTCGAGTAGCGGTTTCATCCCGTTAGAACTACCCGGGAGAAAATGGTGTGATGTGAGCGCTTCGTCTTCGCAGTGATCGAGAGGTATGTAAGTCAATGGTCGTGAGTTTATGATCGATTCAACCTCCATTAAACCGCCGCGGAGCAATTCGTCGGAGGGACGTGATGCTAGCAATACCCTCGACAGGTTGTCCTTCACTGAGCGCACGAGCTGCTCCCAGGCACCGCCCATATGCGGTGACGCCGGTGGTATGAATTTCCACTGCATAGAGGAATTCGTAAAGGTGCTCTGAAGCTTTTCCTTGGTATTTCTCTAAAGACCGTGGTGAGTTCTTGCTGCATTGCTTTAAAAGTAGTGGCGTTGTCACTCCGGATCTCGCATGGTACCCCTCGTCGACCCATAAAACTTCGAACGGTGAGAATGCACGAATCCGTAGACAACGAATAATCTATTTCTAAGTGCACGGCTCTCGTCGTGAGGCATGTGAAGAGCACTCCATACCTCTTCTCAGTACTCCTGCGTACCGCTACTAGTAGAGGACCGAAGTAATCTACCCCCACGTATGTGAACGGACGAACGAATGCTGTTACTCGTGCCGGGGGTAGACAGCTCATTTTCGGTGGTCGTGGTTTTGCATTGCGAAGTTGACATACTTGACAGTCACGACGTACCTTTTTGACCACTGCTCGTAGTCGAGGCATGTTAAAAATTTGCCGTAATTCATTTACTACTGTCTCTGCGCTTCCATGGAGATACTTGATGTGGTAGTCCAGAACAATCAGGCGAGTTATGTTATGGTTTCTAGGCAATATAACTGGATCCGGATGCCCTATCAGACTGAGCCTGCCCCTGAGTCGTAGGACGGAGACCTCATCCAAGTACGGTGAAAGCTTATATATAGAGGTCGTTCGGCTTACTGGTTTTCCCTTCGAAAGTACGGCGATTTCATCCCCAAATGCGTCCGACTGAGCCTCTCTCCACAAATGTATTTCGGCGCGCTTAAGGTCATCTTGATCAATTGGTTGACGAAGCGAAGGACTTAATTTGCGGTAGAGCCTCCAGATACGAATACTTANTATATATAGAGGTCGTTCGGCTTACTGGTTTTCCCTTCGAAAGTACGGCGATTTCATCCCCAAATGCGTCCGACTGAGCCTCTCTCCACAAATGTATTTCGGCGCGCTTAAGGTCATCTTGATCAATTGGTTGACGAAGCGAAGGACTTAATTTGCGGTAGAGCCTCCAGATACGAATACTTAGAAATACTGTTGCCGTTACACGCAGAAGGCGGGACCATCGAGAGAAACGTTCGTGTATTGCCAGGTACTCGTGATGTGGTAGGGCAGCGCCATGGCAACCTACATATCGAGATCTAAGCTCTTCGTAGGTTGTTTCAGTGCTGTCTATGTCGTTTGGTCGCTGCCGTCGCAATAAGTGCGATCCTCTGGACCATCGACTTTCGCTAGAATCTCCGGTGATGTGGACCATTTGGTAGCATCGTCTGCCACATTTTACAGTGAAGGAAGCCATCGCCAAACCTTCACCTCCGTAAGCTCTAACAATTCGCTTATTCGGAACGCAACGAACTGAGAGTAACGACGATGATCAGAACGGATCCAAGCTAAAACGGTGCGAGAGTCGGTCCTGCAGCTAATCTAGCGCCTAAAACCGCAGTCTGCAACTCAAGTCGCGGGATTGATAACATTTTCAACGGTGCCACCTTTGCTTTGCTACCCACTAGCGCACAGTCGACGATTCTCTTGTTGTTGTGGCGAAGATAGCGTACAGCCGAATAAGCGTTTTCCCTGGCATCCACGAAGACGTACATCTCCAGCTCGGACCCACACTCCACATTTTTAAAATAGTACCTCGGTATTTTTAAGGTCTCTATCTTGGGCAGAAGTCTCACCAATTTCTGCCAACTTAAATACTGTTCTTCGGGAATGTATTCATTCCAACCGCACCCAGATCGCCAAACTTCCTGCAACATTATTTTTGCATAAATGGCGTAGAAGTTTAGAAGCCCTAACGGATCGAAGATGCTCATGACTATACTTAGTACATCACTCTTTGTTGGACAGCGGTCATTAAGAATCAGGTTCTTGTTTTCGTGATTTTGGGCCACGCGGAATGTGAAGCAGTCTTCCTGTGTGGTCCATCATAGGCCTAGAACCGTCTCGGCTGGTATTTCTTGGTCAGAGTTTAAACTTACTTCACGGTCCATATGGTTGATCTTCAGCGCTCGCAATACCCTCTCCGAGTTAGAATGCCAGTTCCTGATATGGAATCCACCTTGTTCATGAACGAAACTTACGTCCCTGGCCAGCTGGATGGCCTCCTCCTCTGTGTCGACGCTGTCGAGCATATCGTCGACGTAGTGGTTGCCGACAATACACTCCACGGCCCCCGGATGGCTGTTGCGAAATTCTTCCGCGTGTAAGTTCTTCACGTACTGAGCGCTACTAGGTAAACAGGTAGCCCCGAATGTCACGAAAACTGACGGCTTAACAGCTCCTGACTCAAACCACAGAAAACGTTGGTAGTTCTGATCCTGCGACCGTATCCTGACTTGGTGAAACATTTCTTGGATGTCCCCACTCACAGCTTCTGCTTTCTGCCGGAACCTTCGTAGGACAGATACCAGGCACGTAAGCTGATCAGGTCCTTTCCAAAGCATCGAGTTGAGGGACACTCCCTTCGTTCTAGCGGCCGCATCCCAGACGATTCGAACCTTTTGGGGCTTATTTGGGTTACGTACAGGAAATATCGGCAGGTATCAGCACCCCTTTTCCGATAACGCTCCGTCATGTAGAGGTTTGGCGTACCCGTTGGCCACATAGGTTGCACTCTTGCCTGACATAATTTTGGCAAGTTCCGGTTCATGCGCGAGTTTTGCCTGCAAACATTTTTCTCTCCGCAAAGCAGATGGTATGCTATCCGGGAGAGTGGCGTTGGCGTATTTCTAAATAAGGCCGGTTTCAAAGCGACCGTCGATGCATTTCGTAGTTGACTTCAATTGCTCGATTGCACATTCGTCCTCCTTAGCCATCAGGTTGTTGAATTTTCGCGTGACTTCGAAGTTATCTAAGCATAGTCGCAAGTATGAAATGCATTATATCCCCAACGTTGCTGCTGCTTTCCAGTAACCCCTTTCAGCGTCCACCCCATACGCGTCTTTTCGGCTACCGGCTCGTTATCGCTGCCCTCACGTGCGCGGAGACTTAAGCCTAGACGGCTATTGTTGAAGCCAATTAGCAACTCGGGCACAGCGTTTACATAGGAGAGCAGTGGTAAGCCCTTCAAGTATGAGCATTTGGTTTGCAAGTCGCGTGCATCGAGCGTCTGGGTTGGTAATTCAAGCTTCCGCACTGTGTGTACGTCTTTTAGCACATAACGTTTTTTAGTATCGGCTCCAGAAATATTTAAATCCAGTACTTGGGAGTTATCCTCATAGCGGTGAGTATTAGAAGTCCATCTGAGGCATAATGGTTGCGAGGCGCCGTTCTCTTGTAGTTTCTCCTGCAGCTCAACGTCCATAAGCGTGAGCGCAGAGCCATCATCAAAGAAGGCATACGTCTGAAGCATTTTGTTGTTATTGTAGAGCGTTACAGGCAAAATCCGAAATAGAATTGAGTCAGTTGCACCATCGTGTGCATTAAGCACATGGTTAGCGAGTGGTGAGCTGACCGGGAAGGCTTGCTTGTTATGAAGCAAAGGATGGTGAATCGAAATGCAATCATCCGTTCCGCATACGGCAGTAGAAGCGCACAGAAGGCGGTGGTGCACCTTTAGACAGCGAAGACATATGGAATGCTGGCGTATAAGTCCCCACCGTTCGGACCTATCTGCACTCGTGAATGTGTTACATGAGTCAAGAGAACCACAACATCCGTGGCAGACAATGCACGGTCCATTTCTCCCCACACTGACGTTACCCGCATGCGCATTCAAGTAGCCGCGTTTGGCAGTAGACTT